CTTCCAAGTGAGGTGGTGCAGGCTCCCACCCTGGGGGTTTTTAAGAGGAGGTTGGATGACCACCTTACTGGGGTTGTTTGACCCCAGTGCTCTTTCCTGCCATGGTAGGGGGTCGGACTAGATGATCTGCTCAGGTCCCTTCCGACCCTAGAAACTATGAAACTATGAAACAACCAGGAAAGGGTTGCTCCTCACAGATATCTTGATATAATCATCCTTTTTCAGGGTGGGGGAGGGAGGTGGAAGTAATTGATGTGTCCAAGGTGTTCAAGCTGGGGACTATAGGTGACAAGTATTCTGTTGTCCTTGTCTTGGGGTTGGTATTGTAGCAGGTTGGAGAAAAGTCTGAGTTTGGCTTTGGTAATTTGAGTGGTTACAGTTCAGGGATTGTATTATAATGGTAGGAATCCCTTCCTTGAGATCCTTAAGGTGTGTATCTGGTTGGTGGGATCAGAGCAGATTCAGTTATAATGTAGAGCTTGGCTGTAGACAACGGATTTAGTGGTATGCTTAAGATGAAAGCAGGTGCTATGAAGATAGCTATGGCAATTGGTGAGTTTCTGACAGTTTGGTGGCCGTGTGGCTGTTGCAAATCTGCAACATGGTGTCTAGTAAATTAATTTGCTGGGTGGATTGAAGAGTTAGTTTGATGGAGAAATGAAGGTGTTAAATTTCTAGTGAAATTTCTGTAGAGATTCCTTCCCATGTATCATATGATGAAGATGCATTGGGTACCTTAGATATATCATGGGGATGAGAGGGTACCTGTGGAAGAAGTGGACTTCAAGTTATCTCATAAATATACAGCCACATTGGGAGGCCACACATCTGCCCATAGCTATGCTATTCCTTTCTAGGTAATGGGAATTTCCAAATCTGAAATAGTTGTGTTTGAGGACAAAGTGGGAGAATGTGGTTTCATTGTTGCCTTCTTTGGTGTTTCTAGATTTTTATATATGTACTTCTACTGAAATAATATATATTAAAGACCCCTACATCCATATGCTTTACATTTCTGTATGGCTTCATGTATGCTTTCATTTAGAGTGGTGATACATGCCTGTGTTTTGGTTGGCTGTCCCTATCTGGTTCCATAATGAACTTAATTACTTCTTACAAGTAACTACTGAAAATGAAAAATGACTTTTCAGGTACATGGTCCCTTCAACAGGGAACTGCCTAACAGTACAGTCTCCTGAAAAAAACAACCTGATTTGCCCATCCTGCTGGCTGTTGCTACTGCTACCAGGGCTTAAAGATGGTGTATCTCAGCCTTTTGATGTCTTTTTCATGAATAAACTGGAAGAATATGGGATTCCTACAGACTGAATTCCTGGAGGAGGACAATTAGATGATTTTTATTTTATTTTTGCCACCTGATTTATATCAAAGAAGACAAGCTACCAGTCATCCACACAAGGAACCAAACCAAAGGAAAGAAAATGTAGAGGACCCAATTTTCACTGTTAATCTAAACCACATAAAGAAAATATTATCAACTTACATTCTCTGTGATTCATGATGTGCAGTTATAAAGTGCACATCTTCCATATAAATTGTATAATAGAAAATTAAATGTGAACCTATATTACATGTGACAGTAAGAGTATTGAAAAGAATTTAAGGGGAGGAAAAAGCTTGATGGAAATCTAAGCAGTAATAATCTCATCAAGAAAGTGGCACTTAAAATTCACCTGCTTGTAGCAAAACAAAGCAGAGCTAGTATAGAGATATCCCTATGAAGATTAGATGTCCTCCTTTTAGTGGCAGGGGCATAATACAGATAGATTATGGGAACCTTAATATAACACACTTTTCCAAATCGCAGAGGCAGAGCTGTAAGAATTTGTTGTTATTCTTTTTCATGTAAAAAGTATTTTCAAATCATCCATGTATTGCAGACTGCGCACAGGGAAAAAATTTACTTAGCTTTGATATTCACTGAGGCATTTTATTGAATTCCATGTAAAGCTTCATCTTGCAGACAATATAAATTACACTTTAAACTACTGTAAGAGAAATTACACAATACATATTAAAATATATATTGTAGTGAAAAACTTAATTTCTTCGTTGAGCAATGTAATTTTTTTAGCCTAAAACTTAAAGCAGTATTACTTATCTTTGAGCTTTAATTAGCTAAATCAACTTCAAGTCTTAGACTGTGAGAATTAGGTGATTAAAATTAGAGTTTGCATGAAGCTAGGAGATGAAGCTGAACTAGTAACAGCAACATTTTAACAGTAAAGGCATCTGGGTGTATAAATAAAGTAGATAAAACACAGTACATGGTAGAATATAAACTTGGAGGCCATAGTAAAATAAAATGTCAGAACTTTTTGCCACAACTGCAAATATAAGGTATCACTAATAACTTCAATTTCCTTTACAGACTATGATGAAAAAAAGAATTTGAAGTGTTTTAACATGGTAAAATATGGTTGTTATGTATCTTTTTGGAAGAGAACTGGAAATGCTTATTAATGCGGTATGAAGGCATTATGTAAGAAGAAGCTGACATGCATATGAAATAGGCAAGAGGATAAGGCAAGCAAGGAAGTATACTTTAAATAGGAACTAGAAAGAGGACAGAAACCTAACAAGGGTACTTACTGGAGAAAACCACATCACTTTAAGAATCCAAATTGTCAACGAAAAATTCACAACAAGGATGATAAGCAGGAGGAGGACAAACAGGTAAAGGCAACGCTTTCTCCATCCATAAATGCCTATTTTGTAGACATATTGGTTCTTTGGCCTCTCTAGGCTAGTGCCTGGTGTTGTTGTGGTATATTGTTCACGTACCATTTGCTACAGAAGAAAAAAAACAGAGAATGGTTAATTATATTAATAATTTTTTCTTTTTAAAATATATTTTTTAAAAGAAACATCAATGAAATATCAAAATGTTATTCTAAAAGCAAATAATGCCAATTGGATAAAACTTGTGAAGTCACACCTAAAAATGTTTTTATAATACCTCATTTTACTATTCAAATTAATGTTATATTTTATCTTTTGGTATAAATAATGTGCAGTTGTTTTAGCATACCTGCTGTTTGAACCGTTATCTTTATTAGGCATTCTACATACAATATCAACTTTCCTTCTTTTCTTCATAATATTCCATAAAAAAGTCTTAAAATATTTATCTGAACCATAACATAATTTTCACATCATTAAGAAATAGCATTACACAACAAAAATACTGTAACTCAACAGTGGACAACACGCAGCACATATTCCCCAAATGGCATGGCATGGGTCGTGTGTGAGCAGCAGTAGTTTGAGGAGGGAGCACTGAACTCTGCTTCCTGCAGAGCAACAGGTCAGGCAGGAGAAAGGGATTAGAATGGCACTAGGGCTAAGTACAGACAGTCAAAACTACTTAGGTTGAATCCATTCAATCTTTGCTGGTTAATCTAAACTGTGGAGATTGAACTGATAAGCAAGTGAACATTCACTTTTGATTCTGGAAATGCAGCCACATGCCTGCAGTGTCCCAGGCCAGAAACTGGGGGATGGTAGAGCACACCTCCCTGCTCACCTGGAGCAGACAGTTTGGGCAAGCCCACCCATCCTGCTGGGGAGGGAGTCAGGTGCAAAGCATCCTGGGGTGCTGGGGGACTATGAGTTAACTTGAATCTGGAGGAGATCTGGGACAGAAGTTCAATAAACCGATTTAACCTAGATCAGTTAAGTCTGATATTACATGCATCCAAGTTTATCTTAAATCAATTCCTGCCATTTTGAAAGCAGTTTATGTGTACTGAACTTCTGTTGTTTTACACATTTAGATCAGTTTCTGATAAATTATACCAGTTTATGTGTAATTTCTGTCCCTAGCCCAGGAGGATGTGGGACTTAAATCTGTGGCATCTGTGGGAGTTGTCTGATGTGACTGCAGAGACACTGGCCATCATCTTTAAAAACTCATGACAATCAGGAGAGGTCACAGAAGATTGGAAAAGGGCATAGTGCCCATATTTAGAAAGGGAAAAAGGAGGATAATGCCCATATTTAAGCAAGGGAAAAAGGAGGATCCAGGGAACTACAGACCAATCAGCCTCACTTCAGTCCCTGGCAAAATCATAGAGCAGATCCTCAAGGAACCCATTTCTAAGCACCTGGATGAGAAGAAGGTGATTAGGAACAGTCCACATGGATTCACCAAGCGCAAGTCATGCCTAACCAATTTGATTGCTTTCTATGATGAGATGACTGGCTCTATGGATGCAGGGAGACCAGTGGATGTGGTGTACCTTGATTTTAGCAAGGCTTTTGGTACGGTCTCCAACAACATTTGCACAGGCAAGTTAAGGAAGTATGGGCTAGATGAATGGATTGTAAGGTACATAGAAGACTGGCTGGAGCATCAGGTTCAGAGAGTAGTAATCAATTCCTCAATGTCTAGTTGGCAGCTGGTATCAAGTGGAATGCCCT